TCTGTCTCAAAAAAAAAAAAAAAAAAAATTCTGCTCTAGATAAAAGTATTCTGAGTATTGATACCGTGAGTAGAATTGTTACTGTTCTTCTGTCCACACACAATTTGTGAAATATAGCTAAGCTCAGTACATGTTTATTTGCATAATTTGTGAATTAGAACAATACATTTAGCCATAAACTATTTTAACTTATATGATTTTTACATTTCCCAGGTTTTAACAATGTTCAATAAGTAATAATTTTATCTTTCAAATAGGAACTAAATCTCTGGAAATTTTGACTTGATGAGGTAAGTAGGGAAAGGTGTTTTGTCCCAGGAGGAGAATCTCCATAACGCCCCTCTTTCTGGCATTCACCCGGGAGACCCACAGGTCACGATCCCAGCTTTAGTTCTGGGATCCAGCTACTCCTGTTTCCCCTTCTTCCTTGGGGTAGCAAACTTCCGGTAGCAGAGCAGACAGCACTTTGTGAGGACAAACATCACAGCTGCCCCGCAGGCCAGCAGGAAGCCAATCACGTCCAGGGAGTGGTACTGGGCCCAGCTGAGGTCGTGGGCTGCAACCCGCAGGTGCTTGGCTCCTCCGTGGCGCATGACGAACTCGATCCAGAAGACTGCTCGATCCAGGGGCTTCATTGGCTGGTCATGGTGAATTTTAGACAACCTCACAGCATTCTCTTTATATCTGCAGGAGAAATAAAGGATTCCATTATTGAGAGTAAGTTTATTGGCTAATCTTACCAAATTCATGAAAAAGTTTATGGTTCATTTAATTTCTAAAGAGAAGAACCAAAGCAAACAGACAACCTTCAGAATGGGAAGAGATATTTGCATGTTATGAATCCAACAAAAGCTTGATAACTAGGATCTACAGACAACTCAATTTAATCAGCAAAAAAATGAGCCAACAATCCCTTCTATCACTTGGCAAGAGAGATCAATAGAACTTTCGATAAAGAAGATAGACAAATGGCTAACAAACATATGAAAAAATGCTCATCGTCCCTAATTATCAGAGAAATGCAAATCAAAACCAACCTAATACATCACTTAACCCCAGTGAGAATGGCCCCCGTCACAAAGTCTCAAAATAGCAGATGTTCAGGCAAATGTGGAGAGAAGGAACACTTTTACATTGCTGGTGGGACTGCAAACTCATACAACCTTTTTGGAAGGAAGTATGAAGAATTCTCAAAGAAGTCAAATGAGATCTCCCATTTGATCCTGAAATCTACCCAGAAGAAAAATAATCATTTTTATCAGAAGGACATTTGCACTAGACTGTTCATCTCAGCTCAATTTACAATTGCCAAATTGTGGAAATAGCTTAAATGACCACCAACCCAGGAATAGATTAAGAAGCTGTGGTGTATGTATACCATGGAATACTATTCAGCCACTAAAAAATATGGAGACTTTATATCTCTCCTATTAACCTGAATTGGCATGGAACACATTCTTCTTAGTAAAGCATCACAAGAATGGAGAACCAAGAATCCAATGCACTGAAAGCAATAGATGGGCTAATACAAAGTGAGGGTAGGGGGTAGAGGAATGAGGGAGTGGGGTGAGCGCAAGAGAGAGGGGGGTTGGGATTATGGTGTATGGCACACTTCTTGGGGGCAGGACACAAGTATAAGAGGGAATTTACCTAACAAATGCAACCAGTGTAACCTAATTCTTTGTAACCTGAATGAATCCCAGACAATAATAATGAAAAGGGAACAAAGTTCTGATACACACAACAACATGAATGAAACTAAAAATATTATGCTTAGTGAAAAAGCTATTTTTAATGTACTATAAAGTGTATGAATGCTATAGAGAATAATCTGTAGAGGAAATATAAATTAGCATTTCCTGGGATCAGGTGTTTATAGGAGGAGATTTCTGTGCCTTACAAAATGTCCTTGGGGTGATACAAAGGTTTTAAAATTATAGTGCCATCTTGATAACTCCATATACATACTAAATATATTCAAGTTTTACCTTTTGAATACATACATTTTATGCTAGGTAAATTATATCTACTATTGAATCTATTAAAATAACAGTATAAAAATAAACTCTGGAATAAAAGAAAGGAAATAAATTAAGCAATTGTAGGAATTGAATTAAAATGTTTTTGTATATTTCAAAGGTCATTAATCCTTTTCACTATGGATTCTGTCTTAATTGTAAAAATTCCTCTTGTTCATACTTCTCTGTGTATCTGAAGTTATTTTTACATAGAAAATTTTTGTACTAATTAGTTTCCCATTAAATTTATTGAGTTCAATGCAACTGTGAACTAAGTACCTGGTGGGAAATGAAAGCAAGTTGCTGATTGATTGAATAATTTATTAGCTTTTAATTTCCAAACAGTAGGGGGTTGACAGCATTTACATTCAATAAAATTTATAATTCTAAAACATAAAAATAGATTGTTTTCAAAACTGATCTGCTAAAAATATACTAATGAATTAATCTCATTTACTGATTACAAGAGAACCTGTATAGAAATACCATCTAGTAAAAAGTCATGCTACTCACATGGGGTCATTAATGACCATCTTCAGAGCACTGAGCAAATCAGCACTGGACATCGTGGTGAAGTCCAAGGTGACAGCTGCTCCCTTGGTCTTCATGTGAGCCATGTTGTCAGCTTGTTCCCCAAACAAAGGAATGCCCACCATGGGGATCCCGTGGTAGATGGCCTCATATATGCCGTTGGCTCCACCATGAGTTACAAAAGCCTTGGTTTGGGGGTGACCTACAGTTGGGTGAATATCTGTGAAATTATTCATTACACAACTCAGGAATAAGATGAGAAAGTCACATTATAGGACAGTGAAAGGGGAATGTTTTGTAGATAGCAGAGCAGAGTCTCACAAACTTACACTAGAACTTCTCTCAGATTTCAGAAGCAGAAGGACCTACTTTTGCTTGAGAGAGAAGTGAAGTTTGCATGGAAGAAATGCTGTGTGACTTGAGAATGGAAGACAGACACAAGATCACCAAGGGACAATGAAAAAGAACATTCTAGATAAAAGAAATGGAATGTACAAAGACAAAGAAAAGGAAAAGAAGAGACAGGGTCAGGCATGTATACTCTTGTTCTCTCAGGAAAATAGTGCAGTCCTTGCATCTGACATGGAAGGGGTCCAGGCAGCAGTGAGTGTAACAAGAGCAGAACTGAGGTCACAGCAAGGACAGGCCACACTCCTCTGTGAAGGTGATGTCACTTTACGGTAGGGACTGGGGATTCCTTTCCACAGACAATGCAGAGTCTCTGGAAAAAGAAGAGGAACTATGATGGTCAGTGTCATGTGAAATGACCCTGAGTAGGAAGAAGGTCAAGGTAAAGTTGCTCCAGTAGAGGAAGGAGACCAAGGCACCACCAAGAGCTGAAATAGATACTTTGTTTCTAGACATAAAAAGTATGAATGTGTGTAGGAAAATGCCAACTGCTGTAGGTTATTCTTTCCCCCCAGGATAGAACATGTGTATAAAGCAGCTAGATTTTATTTTTGAGTTTTTTTCTTTATTAAATGATAGCTGTGTACATTAATGGAATCATGGAGTACAGTGTGGTGTTTTCATATACAATTTGAAATATTTTCATCAAACTGGTTAACATAGCCTTCATGTCATTTTCTTAGTTATTGTGTTAAGACGTTTATATTCTACTTTTAGAAAGATTCATTGTACCCTTGTAAGATAAACCATAAATATTGTTTATGTTAAGCTATTGACTATCAGGGCAACTGGCTGTTACTCATGTATTTGATATTTTTCACAAGAATCTTACCAAGAAGGTCATTCTGGGGCAGCCATTTGTACAGCTGAGTATTGGATCCCAAAGTGTCTGGTTTCTTTCCATCAAATCTCCACAGGACCTGTTCCGGTGGAGAAAATACATCATTCCATGAGTAGAAATCCAAAATTAAGGCAAGTTTGCTTTCTAAAGGGATTGTCAGCCTTGTATCTAACCCCCTTCATATACAGTATGAAGAAATCAGAAAAAAGGCTGGTAACTCAAGAGTAGGACTCAAATTCTAGGTAAATAGAATAACCGGGATTCATGTGCTACTGTCATGATCAATGTGGTATCTAACAACTTCTGAGTAACTTACACAAATGATTCCTACACTGGTAAATTCAAGCATTTTAAAAATTATTTGCCCATCAATAAAATTCTGGTAAAAGAAATACAGTAGTAATGGTCTACATTTATTTCTTTATACTAGCTGCAATTCTCCAAAGCTAATATTAATCTGTTATTATTAGTTTGTTCTTTTAAATGTCTTATTTTTCATTATTTTGGACATATAATAGTTGTAAATACATGCAGAGTACATGTGATATTTTGATACAGGCATACAATGTGTAATAATCAAATCATGGTAATTATAGTATGTGAGGTCTGACAAGTAAGTTTGTGAACTCATCCTAGCAAACATGCTACCTGCCCCATTGCTGAATATCACCACAGCCACCTTCCAAGAACTCCCCCTGGGAAGCTGTGCACTGACCCCAGTGCCTAGTGCACCCTTCTCAGCAATTTCTGAACTTTTTTTCTGGAATGGCTATATAAGCATTTATCATATTCCCTTTGATGTTCTGAATGTCATCCAATGTCTTCCTCTTAATATTTCCTTTATCTTCCAGTGAAGAAAAAAGTCACTGGGGGCCAGATTAGGTGAGTAGGGAGGATGCTCCAGTACAGTTACTTATTTACCAGCTAAAATGTCCCTCAGAGTCAGTGCCATGTGAGCTGGTGCTTTGTCCCCATGCAAAGGCCATGATTTGTTGGCTAAGATTTTCAGTTAAGATTTTTCAGACATTTGGGCGGCACCTGTGGCTCAAAGGAGTAAGGTGCTGGCCCCATATGCCAGAGGTGGTGGGTTCAAACCCAGCCCCGGCCAAAAACTGCAATAAATAAATAAATAAATAAATAAAAATAAAAATAAAATAAAGATTTTTCAGACATTTTCCCATCAATGTTTCCTTGGTCTGCTATGCATCTCACAGCCAGCTAATAATTTGTTGGACAATTTGATAAATTTCTGCCATGTTTTCATCTATTCTGGTCAGTACTGTTCATCTTGACCTCACCTCATCAGTGATGCTCTTTCCCCTTGGAAACACTTTAATCCATTTGTAGACTGCCATTCTCTTCATGGCATTATCTCTATAAACGTGGACTAACATGTCGCTGATTTCACCTCCACTCTTGCCAAGATTTATAAGAAATTTGCAAATGCCTCTTTGTTGCTCTAATTCAACCTCCGAACTGCTCACAAAAACAGGCAACAACAATAATGAGCCCTGTTTACCAAAGCACCGTCACATGTTGTCACAAACACAATTGTGAGACTCTGCTGTCCTGGGTCAGGAAGCCTTACTGAGTTGTGTGTACGGTGCTGCCAATGTAAGTGCTCAGGGACAGGTTCATAAACCTAATTTTCAGGCAACTCTACGTCACCTTAAGCTTTTGAGTGATATGAGTATTAATTTGTTGATGTCTGCCTGTTACATAAGTAACTTCATTAGAGGTTGCCATTTACTGATTTGCAAAAGATCCATATCCATAAAATCAGCTACTTGAGGGAAACGTGTCCATGCAGCTTTGGTTTTTCCATAACACTGTCAGACACACTCACTAAACACTTCTCCTAAGTAAGAGTCAAAGTGGTATCATTTTTCCAGGATTCAGAGCATTATCACTACTGCTAGTCTTAGAAATTCTTTTACTGTAGAAAATCAGAGCCAGTGGGAAGTTTATGAATAACAGGACACCTGTTCAGAATATCTAAAACTGTATTTGCTAAACTTTGTTTGACTGTTACCATGTAGCTGACAGACTGCAGCAGTGATTAATACCATCTCCTATAACACAGCCACATCCATGCCCAGTACCAAGATATGGCTATTATAGAATTCCCAAGTAATCATCATAGACTTGAGGAAAATTTAACTTCCACTTGGTATTGGAGTGTTAATGTCAAGTTTTCATCATAAAAGTAACACAAATTGTTAGAAGTTTTTGTCAGACAGAAAACTAAGAAAATGATTCCTGAGCACACATAGACTACAAATGTATCGTGTATGTGAGAACTTAAGTTCCTACTATATTCTATGGGGCATCTGAACCCTCCTCCCATTCCTGACTCCTTCTGATTGGCTCCTCCTTTATTTCCTTCCCCTCCCTCAGTCAAGAGAGGTGTCAGCCTGGAGGTGACATTAGATGCCCAGGTCATGCCTTAGGGCAGGACACCATCTTCACGATTTTCATTACATGCAGCCAGGAAGGCAGGCAAGTTTTTCTCTTTCTCTAAATCTCTCTGGCTAGGTGGGTACCTATAGGGTGACCAGTCAGCCAGGCCATCTTTCTCTGAGCAGCTTCCTGACCAGCACACCAAAAAGGCCTGTTCCACATGTGTAGGAGGCACAAAAGTTCAATCGCATGGGAGCCTAGACTGCAGTGCACCTGAGACTTCTCTCAAGGCCTGCTTCCTGCCACTGTGCTAGCACAGATATGCACTAAATTTCCCTCCTTTCCAATAAGATCTCAGGGTGCACAATGCCCTCAGGAGCTCTGTTAACTATCAGGCAGTTAACCTTTCACATAGACTCATTCAGTAACTGTCCACCAGTGGACACATTATCTAACCTTTTGTGGGAGCTGGGCAAGGGCTGCAGCAATCACATTGGCCCTTTCTTCCTTCATGTTGCTGACCATTGACCCCAGAGAAAACACCACAACACCATTTTCTCCAGAGCTCTGGACGAAGTCTTCCATCTCCTGTGAAGAAAGAATGAGTCCATCAAAAACATATATGTTTATCAGCACAAGGAACGTGGTTGGAAGGATGTTTACAAACGTCTAGAAGAGAAAAGCCCATACTATTAGGAAGTGTCAGATTAAGGGCTGATGTTTAACTGACTTAATCACAAAGCTTTATGGAAAGAAACATGTGTTATGTGATTGGAGGCTTCTATTGCAGTTATTTGTGCAAATGTGAGTGTGCATATGTGAGCATGTGTGTACGTGTGTAGGAGGAAGAATAAGTGGACCTACTGCCATGTCGTCGGGAGAGGGAGAGCTAGAAAGTAACGTGCTCAGACCCTTCATATGTATCCGTGGGTTTACTGATACAGGTTAGTCAAGGTGGCTTCACACGACTTCAGTTCTATAAAATTGTGTTTCTGTTACATCTCTTTTGTTCATTTCAGGCATTTTTTATGTGGAATTTCTTTTTGTTGGCGCCATTCCCTATGAGCCATGAGGAAATCTCCCTGAGGGTTGGGATGATGTTATATCTATGTTTCTTCAGTTCCATAATCTTTGACACATCACTGAAAGTTTGTCAGAGTTTCCCATTCTTTTCCCCTAAACACATACACACACACATAGACACACACACACACACACACTTACTCAAAAGTGGTACCTTAAGACACACTGATATCCACGATGATGAGATTGTGCTTTGGAACTTCAGTGCAATAGCCCAGGTGTCCCACTGGTAATATGGAATCACAGGGCATATAGTAGCAGATTTGAATGACCATATTTATTTGGAAATTATTTAGGCAGGAGGCATTCTTATCATGACCTTACACTGTTAAATTGATGTGCTACTTACAACTAGCCATGATGGACAGTCCTTACTCTTTACTGTGTCCTACACAGAGCACCTGCCCCTCAAGGGACACCCAGGCCTTCCTGTCATGGTCCTGTCTCTGTCCTGAGCTGTCCACACTGACTGTGTGGACGTCCTGGTGCACAAGTGCTTGGAGTTGATTGAGAATTATAAAATTATGACTTGTGGTTTCCAGTGTGAGCCAGTTGTTTAGTTGAAATACATTCTGTACATGAATATTTCCAAATTAATCAGTGGATTCTCTCAGCACAGAAAAAGAAACAACAACAACACCACAAATCCCCCAAATAAGCAAGGAAGATCAAAAAAATCTCCAAAGAAATGTAGAGTCAAGTATTTCCTGGATATTACATCAAAATCATATACTCATTTTTGATGTTATTCCTTTCATATTAAATTCATACATTGCTTTTTCTTCTCTGTGAAGTAACATCCATTCCTTCAACATAACAAAGAAACTTTCATTTATGAGGAGGACACCCCGGGCAATTGAAGCAACATCAGAAATACACTATTGGGACCTGATCAAACTAAAGAGCTTTCACAGCCAAGAACACAGTAAGTAAGGCAAGAAGACAGCCCTCAGAATGGGAGAAGATTTTCGCAGGTTAGGTCTCTGACAAAGGTTTAATAACCAGAATCCATAGAGAACTTAAACGCATTAGCAAGAAGAAAACAAGTGATCCCATTTCAGGGTGGGCAAAGGACTTGAAGAGAAATTTCTCTAAAGACGATTGGCGCACGGCCTACAGATATATGAAAAAATGCTCTCCATCCTTAATCATCAGAGAAATGCAAATCAAAACTACTTTGAGATATCA